TCATAAGTTATTATATTAAAGAAAAAACTAAGATGGGGATTAGCCATCGTAAGTGTTTGGTAAATATTCTTTTCATAAGTACTAAGAAAAGACAAATAAAATATAGAAGAGAATGACCAAACACTTATCATGGGTAACCATCATAGTTCCATTTCTTCAAAACTTTATTGTTTGTTTTCAAATCTTTTATTGCTTGACTACGTACAAGCTTTTTCTCATATCTCTTATGATTATATATAGTTAAGGTTAGGTGAGAAAAGTAAGCGAATGTAAATTAAGCTTTCGGCGTAAAAATGCCAATTTGTATAATTACCTTTGCTCTCGATCCATTACAGTTTCATATCTGATCTCCTTATAAACAGTTTCGAATGGTATTTAAGATCAAGTACCCAAAAAAGTTACATTTTCATGATCATAGTTATATGTTTTAGAGACTCTTCTCTTGCGAACGTATGCGTGACAATAAGATGGTGAGGACAACCTATCAGATGTTGACTATCACCTAAATGTAACTCCGTCTTCTATACCATTGTGAGCTTTGATTTATAATCTTCTTCTTTTTTTCTATTTAGTGATGATTACCAATATTATGTTGAAATTATTAAATAACAAAGATACTTAACGAGTAAGTGGTTTAAAATGTTTCTTTAGTTCATTTCAATTTCGATTACAGTTTACTCAATTGAATGGTTTAGTTTGTCTAACAAATTCCGGAGTATATATTAAGCCGGAGTCATGATCACTGTAAATTAAATTATTTTTCATTTGTCATGTGTTGCATTATTTTGAAGATATTTTCAATTTGAATAATCCTTTCATAACTGATTTGATCTTATCAATCATAACATGACGAATAAATCTAGTTATATATATGGAACAATTAGAATCACGACGAAGAATTTTACAAAAGACTTCACAACCAAGAGCAGATCTAGAAGCTTTTTAAGTTGTGGGCATATGAAATTTTTTTTTTGGGTCAAATTAATTCATTAAGATTAAATCGAAGTTGTGGGGAAACCGGTGATAACCGGGCCCTGGTACAAAGCGTGTTTTGCAATAGCATCCGCATCGACATTATCGGATCGAGGAATAAAAGAGAAAGAAAAAACATTGAGATCGAGGGAGAGCTGTGCAATATCTTGCAGGATCCCAAACATCTCTAGATGATGTCTTCTTGTGTTGATGAGATTGATCAAGGTTTTCGAATCTGAAGCGATGTTCAGGGCTCTTAGATTTCGGTGCCCGATTTGAATTAGGGCCTCTCGGATTGGTAGTGATTCTTCTACCAGAGGAGATGAAACGTCTGTCAGGAATCGTGAGCCTTGTGCGACGATGGTGTCGTTGTTACGAAGGATCCATCCTAGGCCCGCGTTCCGCATATCCGATCGCCATGCTGCATCCGTGAAGCATGTGAGATTCGTCGGTGGTGATATTGTATGGTTTGATCACGGAGGTCTATCTCCTTTGGGAATCGAGGTATTTGCTTCCATCCATTCCTTAGCATCAGTGATAGCTTTGAGTATCGTTTCCTCTTCCGTAAATACTCTATCATTAAATATCTTGTTGTTTCTTGTTATCCATCTAGTCCATAGGATCCAAAGGAGGAGAGGACCTTCTGTAATGCCAGTCGGGGGAAGGCAGCTTAGTGTCTTGGTAGCTGAGAGAGCCACGGTGATGTCTGGTAGGATCGAGGGTATGAAAGGCTCTTTGAAAGGGGCCAAATACCAGACTTTTTGGGCGAATCTGCAATGGAGGAATATATGCGTAGATGATTCCGGTTCTCCACAGTGGGCACATAGGAGTGTTCCGAGACTCCTCTAGCGGCCAGGTTGTCTCCCACTGGTAAGGCTCTGCTCACCAGCTTCCATATGAAAAGTTTTAACTTCTGGGAAGTTTTTATGTTCTAGATTATTGAATTTCAGTTTGTTGTAGGTTGGTGTTGATCATGGGATGGAAAGGCCAACTCTTTTGCTATGTAGTAACCTGACCGAACCGTATAGATGCCTGAAGACTGCCCCAACCAAGCATATCCATCACTGCACCAGTCATACTGAGTTTGATGTTCAGGATATTGGCTTTGAAGTCGGGGAATAAGATCTCTATTTTCTCCTGATCCCATTCCATTCTTTCTGGTAGAAAGAGGTCCTTGACCAGCAGCTCTGCATCATGTCTATTAGGTGGCCCAACAGGTACGACTGGTACAGTAAGGGATAGCCATGGCATCCTCCCCTTCTTCCGAAAAAAGAGAAGGAAAAGGAGCTTCTTCGCCAGGTTGTCTCTTGCCTGCCCATGGATTCGCCAATTTCATTCTTTTAACTAGTTCAGGAAGAATTTCACATCAAGATCATGAATGTTTGGAATCCATATTATGCAAGGAGACATTGCTTTTGCTAATTCGAATTGAAGGGTGATATAAAATCGGTCTATTTCCGACATCATATCCATAGGAAATAGAATTTTTATCTGAATACCATCCGTTAACCAGTTTCTTGGAAATTCTGTTTCGGATAGTTTTTCACACCAGAAGCTT